TTCAGAAGTGGTCTGATAATAAGGTTCAATTCATTTATCTTACTGTCAACTTTCTTTTTTGATTGTATGCCAAGTATTATTGAATGTCATAAAGGCAGATTGCGAAACAGTTTGCGTCAGACCTTGTCTTTTAATATGCGCATGCTGTGATATACCTTTGCTACAAATAAAGGAAGCTCAATTCAGAGAATCTGACATGTTCCACCTGAGTTTTCTCCTTTTTTTGCGGCAAATGATGCTTTCAATGGACATACTAGGAAGTAATGTTCAACGCGCTTCGGCATATCGAAATCTAATTCGTATGTTTTTTTTTCCTTTCTTTTTCTGTATAAAGAACGGAGGAAAGGGACAGGGAAAAGAAATTGGCCTCTCTGGGTCACTAAGCATCAATTTAACAAGAAAGATTTGACGCTAAAGAGGTAAAAAATGATAGGTATAACAGCCTGCGTCATCAAGTTGGTTGTCTGGGTCCTCTCCTACTCGGCCCCCGTCTCTCTCTAGCCACGCTGCCGAGTAGGGGAGGGCCCTGGAAACGAGGTTGCCAGCGTCATTTGCTTGCACAAGTGGATCTACCCTAAAAATATAATCACCAGCGAAAATAAACCTTGACAAAAGACAGATGGTATGGTGGTAGGAACCTGGTGACATGGAAATGGGGTTTGAAAGTGCCCTTGCAATAACTACTTTAAAACAATTTTCCTCTTTCCTTTCTTTTCCTTGGTTAGTAAGGGTTATTTACCTGGAACGAGGGGGTATGTGATATATTCATTTGGTACGCCCTCGGGGCGTACCCCCGAGGTTAGGGACAGATAAATAACAGGCTTATTTTTCACTTGTGAGGTTTCCCAAAGGATAAATCTTTTGAAGCTTTGAATTAATTCTTTAGAGATGTTTATTCCCAAGAGCCTCGAATTGTTTGAGGTTGAATTCTGAAATATGGAAATTGGTCAATTCATATGGGGTAGTCAAACAGTACTTTTACCAGAAAGAGATGAGTAATTCAGAGGAAAATGTATTCATAAAGTTAAGGCAGGGCAGTACTGGAAACTCTTTTGGACATTTCAACGCGACAGATTTTTGTGTCAGTCGTCCAACGAGTCACACTGCAAACCAGGCTGTTCGCAGGTAGACGTTGGAGATGTTATGTCAGATTTGTTCAAAAGTGACGAGGCCGGTGATACAAATCTCTAGTTTGAACGACATTGTGCTATGACAACTGCCGACAAAGAAAATGAAGTCCAACAAAATGTAGCAAGTTCATTGATTGAAATTCAAAATTCTGATTTGTGTTGTTTTACTGAGACGACGGTTAAACATGTTGAGGGGATTATCAGTAGGGAATATGACAGCTGATATGATGAGGGGAATATGAGCAGGGGAAATGTGTATTGAATAGTTTTGTTATTGTTATCAGCTATCGTTTCAGCCCCGCACTCCACTGTTACAATCAAAGCCGCCACCATCTTTTCAGACATAGAATAATAATGAGGGGTTATGCAATATATTCCCCTAAAAAGAACAAAGGAAATCGAGACAAGCGAAAAATAAGTGTGATTTTTTGTCTTATCGGACGTAAAAGCCTGCCTTTATACTTTGGCCCTTTCCGTCTCAAATGGCTGTAAATTTCGGTAGCTTTTGTTTCAGAAATCCGGCTAGATATACGAATGAATAATGACTATTACCCCTTACATTTTTTTTCACTAGGGATCTTAAGACGCCATCTTGCAATTGTCTGGTAGGCAAACGCAACAGAAATTACTGTGTTCATGTAGACCGTTTTCTTTCACGCAGCCAGCAGCTGTGCAAATTCTGACTCGTCCTTAGTCGTTTTCGCGCGTATCGCGCACGGTTAGAGCAGGGGGTGATGGGAATCTTTCTTCCTTCCCATCACATCCCGCGCGCCACTTGGGAATAAATACAGCCGACTCTAGAGAAATTGAAAAAAGTTCGAGTTATCGGGAATTCGAAGACAATGACCGGAGATAAGGAAATAAGAAAATGGATGGGGAGGAAATGCAAGGATCATGCACTCTTCACTTAAAGAGCAGCAAGAGATATAGATTGATATTTTAAAACAGAAATTGTGCAATAAAGCATGATTAATATACAGTGATGGACACTGCCATAAAGACCTGAGACTTGGACAAATTGTTTGTATATTAGCCTTTTATAACATTTCATTTTCTTGGTTTCTTCCACTGGACGGTTTCCAATTCAATTTTTTGTTGCCTGACAGTGAAAACGATCTATATGATGGCATGAAATATAGCTTCGTCTATAGAATTCCTTTATGTATGATTGAAATCAAAAGTGTGTAGGAATCAAATATGGTTTAAGAATTATCGAGTATTGCAAAGTTTTTGAGATATGTTTTGTCTTGACTGTCGGTCACAGCCCACCACAAAAACGTGTGGCTTGTGCATGCTGGTGTAAAACGCGCAAATGAGGCGAAAATAGCTGTAGATTTCAGACAGTAGGCATTGACAAAAGACGTTAACAATTGAAGCATCTAATATGCCTTAAGCTCATTTTCTTGTCTCTCCTCTGTTTGCTTACACAACAACTTCTGTCCTGTTTTTAAAACTGCCTTTCGAAGCTCCTTTAAACGCCAGCAATACAGAAATGGGTTTATAGACGAGTTCAAGAACACTACGGTATTTGCAACGGTCCACAAGTTTGAACTGAGTGTTGGGTCAATCGTGTAAATTATCATTGAAGTGAACATTGGCGAATAACAGAGAACCAGACAGATGAAATATATGAAAGTGCTCAATGCACTTCTCTTTGATCGCGCTATGTTTATACTTTCCGCGGTGTTCATACTTTGTACAGCTTGTTGCTGAAGGTGAATCGCCGACTGATGATGGCGAACTATGAAATAAATCCTGGTGTAAAAGAAAGCGGAAATTAAAAGGCATGCAAAGATGCCAACAGCGAGAACTATAGGGAGTGTACGCCACAGCATTAAAAACGATGAAGCGATGACAAACAGCCACAGAGTTACTGTAGTTTGTATTGCACATTTGTTGGTCATTAAATTTGGATACCGCATATGGTAATGCAGGGCCATAAATCGGTCTATGCTTATCGCTGTCATTGTGCATAGCGAAACAACACAACCCATGCTGAAAAGTATATTGGCTGTCTTGCGCAAGCCAGGATCAGGCTTTAGCTCGTGGGCGATGTAAACCGGCTGTACAGCAAGCCCGACAAGAAGATCCGAAACAGCGAGACTGGACAAGAAGATTGAAGACGATGAATGAATTGAGGGTGTCCTAAATATAGCGGACAGCACTAACGTGTTGCCGATGACTGCTACGAACATCAGTGGAACATTAAGAACAATATTTATCACCAAAAGGGCGTCCATTTCGCTCAGAGATGTTGACGTGGTGTCACATTTATAGTTTGAAGTCCATGAATCCCAACTCTAGATCAAGCACACTGAGTCCTGCTCTTGCTATGTGCCTAAGTATTGTATCGAGTCCTGTGTACTTTCTTAGCTTTCTCAATTTGTGACATACGTATTACATATATTGGCTTGATAGTCCTCACAGTTTGCAGTAGGAGTCAAGTATGCCACAATATGCCCCATCACATCATTCCCGGCTTAAGAATCAAAAATTGTCAGTGGCTCTCAAAGGTTACCTTGTTGAAGACAACTTAAAGTTTTCGTTCTGCAGGCGGTTTGAGCTAAAGTGCTAGTTGTGTTTAAATAGATTGACAGCTCGTGTGAGGTCACCGTCTATGAGCAATAATATATTAGAATTCTAATCAATTTATTTTCAGCTTTGCCAATCAGTAGGTATTCCAAAATTGAATTATAAATGTTCGCTTTAGATAGACTAAAAACAGGCTACTGTGTTTTCATGAGTGCAGGAAAAGAAAACACCATTATTTTTTTAACGATAAACTGGATCCGTTGGTAAAAGCTCTTATCGTCAGCTGTATCGTTAGGTACTGAAAACGTAAATTTTCTAACCTTCGCTTTCGAAACATGAAAAAGCAGGTGTCATGTTGAACTCGTCAAAACAAGCTACTTTAATTACCGGCAGGAAAACAACACACTATTACGGAATAAGAACAACCGGTTTCGATAGTAAAGATAAAAATTATAAATGCGAATAAAATTTTTTAGAGACCAAGATATTTGGAGAGGCATTTCGTTCTTTGTAATCTCAAGTTTTGCCGGTGAAAAAAAGACAAAAGACAAAACATCTGGCACTGTCAAAGTTTTTTTTAGTGGTGCAATATATGAATAAGCAATAAGGTCTTTACCGTGGCGCAATATATATGCTTGCCTCAAAATGACAACACAATTTTCTTCAATGAGACTTCGGTCAAGAGTGACGTCTGAATAAATTAATTCCATTTTTTTTTTCATAAACTCTTTTTTTTCAGGAACGTTACGTAGATTTTCTCAATGAAGAACATACTAAAAACTTGGGGCATAAATATTTGGTGACTTTACCATTATTAGACATAGCATTAATATCGACAAATAACAACCACAAAAAGAGATTTGTTTGTCAGATAATTTAATGCAGACGAAGACAGTGCGAAATTTATTTATTTCGGCTGAAGTGACAGCAAAAGTACAAATTGTTGGTTTTCACTTGACGTCACTAAAATTCAGATTAAAAAACTATCGATCCTACCGAGATTTTACTTTCACAATGCATTAAGCAGTGAAAACTAGTTTTTCTGTTGGTTTCCGTCCGCCATGTTAGAGCTCATCCAGGTGAGCACCAGCATGGCGTCTCCATACAAATCTCTTTAAGTTTGGGTAAAACAAATCTTCGGATATCTCGTATACGAAATATTCGTCTGACCTGAATCTTGGCGAGGGTCTTTGTATATGTACCTTCTTTCATTTCCTAGATTCTGGACTTTATCTATTGAACGGTTTTGATTTTTATTTTGATCTATTTTGAATGGCGTGACAATGAAAACCAGCAATATTTGTTCATTTAATTATTTTTGTTGTTTATTTTGTTTTTAAGTCCTTTAATGAATCGTGGAATCCCAAGTGCCATGGAGTGAAACATCACGTTCAGCCGAATAGCCTATGCTCTGTAATTGAATACCTCAGCGAGGTGAGTTTACTTCGCATCAGTTTCTCATCGTCGTCGTCATCATCGTCATCACCACCACCACCGCCACCACCATCATCATCATTAGGGACTTTAAGATCCAACGACGCGGACGACAACAAGAACGTCAAAAAAACAATAGGTTTAATTAGCAAAACAACAACTTTGCATCACACTTTTTGTACCACCACCGACCCTAATTGCTTTTGTGGAGGACGTAAACAAGCAACTCAAATTTTATTTCATCAAATTCCGCTTCAGGAGGGTTCGCCTACAATTCATCACGTTCTTGTCGCCGTCGCGTCGTTGGATCTTAAAGTCCCTATTATTACCACCACCACCACCACTACTATCATCATCATCATCATCGCCACCACTACCACCACCACCACCACCATCATCATCATCATCATCATCACCACCACCACCGTCACCATCATCATCAGCACCACCACCATCATCATCACCACCACCACCACCACCATCATCATTATCATCGCCACCACCACCACCACCACCACCACCATCATCATCATCATCACCATCATCACCACCACCACCACCATCATCATTATCATCGCCATCATCACCATCATCATCATCATCACCACCACCACCACCATCATCATTATCATCGCCATCATCACCACCACCACCACCACCATCATCATCATCATCATCACCACCACCACCATCATCATCATCATCACCACCACCACCACCACCACCACCATCATCACCACCACCACCATCATCATCATCATCATCACCACCACCACTATCATCATCATAATCATCATTACCAAGTAATCTGCTCTTGTCGTCACCACCACCACCCCAACCACCCTCACCATCATCATCATCAATTTATTTGATAAAGAAGGTTGTATAAAAGGAGACACTCAGGACTCAAATGGTCACAAATTTCAGCGTATCCTTATTCCGGAACGCGATCAACCAAGCGCACCATAATTTTTTTACCTTTATTTGCCCATCATTGCAATCATGCTGCCTACTGCGAGCTAAACAATAAATAAGAAAAGCAATGATGTATATATCAAAACAAGGTCTCCAAACCTAAGCCTTGTATCCTCCTAAAAGGCTAGGGTACAAAGCTCCCAACTGTGAAATGGTTTTTGTAAACTGCACTATAAGCAGTCAGGCAAAATCCTCCCACATGGTAACCGTGATGGAGGACAGGGAAGGGGGGTGGGGGGGGTCAGTGGAGAGGTTGAACAGGGGGCTGCGGTTTACATGGAGGGAGGAAGATCCTAGAAGGCGGATCATCCTAGCGCCATATGTTTGCTGTATTCGGTTTACATGCAAAGGGTTGTACTTGTTCCTAGAGCTGGGATCTTCCTAGCTGACAGGTAGGAAGACCCTAGTACTAGGAAGATCCTAGCACCATGTAAACTGCCTTTCCTTGGAAGATCCTAGTACTAGGGAGAAACCGGACAAAAATATAGGCAGGTAGTTAAGTGGCTAATCACAGCAATAAAGGCCGACCATTTCGTTTGGCGTTACCGCGACCTGATTATTGTGATAATTCTGCTGAAAGGTAGTTGTAAACGCCAGTAAAGAGAACAGAAGGACCCAAATTGTATGTTTGTTTTTGTCGTCCGCTATTTTTAATTCCTTCTCAAACATTCTATATTTGGGTACCACATGGGGCAAAATTTCTGCATGTAAACCCAACGTAAAATTGATCCGCCTTCTAGGATCTTACTCCCTTCATGTAAAGAGCCCCTGATAATAAATCCAATAAAATGTTTATGTCAAAGGAAATCTCCTAAGAGTATACCTATGCTTGCTAAGGCTCGCCACTACCTTTTAATTTGCAATTGCTCTGGTTGTACGTAGGTCGAGGGTTGGTGTCCAGTGTTACCATGGAGACGTGACTTTGACCCCTTTAAACCACCTGCTAACCACACCGAGGTTTGTAGCCATATCGGTCAATAATTCAGGTATATGAGCGGTAAACAAAAAATATATTTGCAGGACTGTTAAGGACTCAAAGGTACTGGATCAGTTGTTAATAAGTATAGGCTTTTCAAACAAGTCCAGCTTAAGTCTGTGGATTGTGTTTGACAACGTGTTCAATCTTTTATAAACGTTAAGCTTCTTTTGTGTAAATAGACTGAATGTACGAAGAACACAGTTCTTTGTGCCGAATTTGTTCTAACTAAGGATAGTTCTAGTCCAATAAACTCCTCTCGTTCACCTGCTAGTTTGTGTCAAACTCTGTAGCAGAATATTAAATCATCGTTCAGATGACTTTGGCTTGCAGGCAGTGATTTGCACAGATGTATCCGGGTTATTAGAAAAATTAAAGGACGACCGTTACGCCTGGATGAGAATTCGAATAACGGAAACATGGCCGCAGTGGAAAGAAGCCACTGAACAACTTGCTGTGACCCTGAATGTGAAGAATAGAATGAAGAAAAAGGTGAATTTTGGGTTTTCTTTGAATGTTGTTGAATGTCTAGATGAGAGTAAGATTCTGAGAACTGAATACACCTACCCCTCCCTTAGACGAGCATTTTGCCCCAAGTAAGGAGTTAGTGTTAGGGTTAGGGGAGGGGTAGGTAGCAATTTTCCAGAATCGTATTACCTCAGCCTACCTACCCCTCCACTAGCCCAACATTTTGCCCTAAGTGAGAACGCTGGGTGAGGGGACGGGTAGGTGAGTAATTTTTTTAAATCTAATAATAAGGCATTTGAAATGCTTAGCGAGCTAAAAACAAGCAGTTTGATCGGTCTAATGAATGGTAAGGACGACATTCTATCAGTTTAGCGACGCAGATCAAGAAGCAACGTGATTGGTCTTGCTAAGTAGATAAAAGCCGTTTGGGGGGGTCCAATTGATTAGAAGAAAGTAAGTTGAATAGTTGCTCTAAGTAGAGGTAAAATTGAGCGAACAGCAAGATCGCAAAATGTTAAAACTCCCAGCATTTGATAAATTTTTTTCCGCCACGACGACATTCTTGCCAAAACATGTAGTAGAATGACGACGGCTATCACACTTTCCCGCCAAAATGACGTTGGTTCACGTGCGCACCACTTAGTATTGAGAAAAACTCGTCGTCGTAGTCGTTCTCGTATAAGCAAAGGCGTTTTCAGCCAACTCAACCGAAAATGAAGCCTCCCTCCTTTCAATATGCCTTGACACCACCCAATTTGTATTACTAAGTTGCTTTATTCTTATAGAGACGATTGACCTGAAACATTGGGCAAAACCACTGCACAAGTTGGTAAAAAGTCCATTTCCGGTCGACGTGCGTCGATTAAAAAAAGCATTTGCTTTAGCTCCCTAATCTAAAGGTCTTGATTTCCTTTACCAGATTCTTCTCTATATGGGAAGCATAGAAGACAACTTCAAGTTTTTTACTGAAGCCTTTACTGGTGGATGTTTAGGGGAGCTTACACAGTGGAGTGATTTAATGAGTGCACTGTATATTTTAGGGCATGACTTGATAATTACATCAGATTACAACGACCTGCGAAAGTAAGTTTATCCATGTTTATTTCGTAGACTGAGAAAACAGCCGCGTCCCCACCACTGGTTTTCCCGGCGAAATGACGTCGGAGGGACGAGTGCAGAAATTCCACACTGATGACGTGTTGCTACTCAGATCTGGGTGGTGCTTCTGATTGGTCTCCCCGGAGAGAAATTTGCTTCAACCAATCAGAAGCACTACCTAGATCTGGGGTGTGAGGAGTGCAGCATGGAATTTCTGCACTCGTTCCTCACACTTCATTTCGCGGGAAACCAGTGGTGGCGTCTCGAAAGGTGGGCTGTTTTCTCAGGGTTATTTTATCGTCCTTCAACACAAAGTTTTTGTCAGTTCCTCAATATTATTATTAAGAAAAAAAAGCCAACAATCAATTTTCAAAATGTTCCAAACTGGACAGGTTCTCGATACTTTAGAGAGGCAATGGAGTTTTAAGACCGAAGAAAGCTACACATTTTATATCGGTAACTTTTCTTCACATTTGAATCTTTGTATCAAGCATCATGCCTCCTGACACCCAAAAAACTCCTGGGATGTCCAGAAAACAACTTTGTGGAAGTTTACCGCTAAGAATTCATACAGAGATAAGAATTTTTGTGAAAGGTTTGCACCTAAGACTCATTTCAAAAGTTGGTTGAGTTCTGATGGTCTGGGTGAACGTAGTCCTGAATAGGACTATTGTTGTTGACAATGACTGACGTTTCGACAACCTGTGCGGTAGTCATCGTCAGAGTCAAATTAAAGAGACTAAAACAAAATTCTTGTTAATACAGTCAACTCTCGCCCTGCGGACTCCCCGCTATAACGGACACCCCGATAATACGGACGGCAGCTAAATCCCCTCCAAAAATATATTAGAGATGTTTGACTGAAATAAACTCCCGCTATTACGGACTCTCGCTAATGAGGACACTAACTCAAGGTCCCTAGCTACAGTGTCTTCTATAAAGAGAGTTGACCGAATGGAAATTTGGGAACTAGTTATCTATACCCTTGCAGTCTGCAGGTATTGAAAGACTGAAGAACATCCCCGATGGGGGTACTCCCTATAATGGCCCATGCAAGGAGGCTCCGCGCCAGAGGGGTACCATTTTTAGGCCTCAGGTATATTAAAGGGTGGGCATTTCACTAGTTAAAGTATATAAAAGAGCATGGAAATCTGTCTTTCCAACTGTAAAAAGACTTAAAAGGGTTGTGAAAAAGTCGAGAAGATTTCCTAGTATTGTGATTTTTAAGACAGTGCATATATAGGGTACAAGTTCTCAGCTAGGTATGTGAAAGGGGTACCATTTGTCAATGGAAAGAATACGGAAGAGGTACCTTTTCTTTCAAAAATGGTATATAAAAGGGTAAGGTGTTGGACCTCGGGGCGGAGCCTCCCCGTATAACATTTGTTGGGTACCCGGCCCCTCTCGACTCTATCCACTGGACAAAACCATTGTCCAGTGAAAACGTTTTAGGGAAACCAGTTGCGTTATTTTTTGAATAGTGATTTATTTAATGGTTATTATCATAGTGGTTAAATGTCTATATCAACAGCATTATCACCCAGACTGATTCAGATGGCTGTGCTTTAAGAGAACTTGCTGACGGCTTGGATCTAATATTTACTGACATTCCAGGCGCTAAGAAAATTATGATGGTCAGTGGACCACATAGTTCGCGTTACAGGTACAGCTAACAATATGAACTTTTAAGAAGAACTTCATTGCTAATGGAGAGAGCTCTGATACTAACCAAATGCAATAAGCGATTATAGGAAATGAAAAGGTGGAACAGAAGTGGGAAAGGTAGTCAGTAAAGGAGCATAGATACACTTAACAGGACATCTGCACGTTTAGTAACGTTTCTTGTCTTCCACTAGATGCAAGATGCGCATTTTGGACTCGTTTGGAACGGACGCGGAATTCAACTATCCGTACTACAAAGAAAGTATTCCTGGCGGCAGATCGGTATGGGGAGATGTGAATCTTCTGCTTCCTCAGTTCATGACGATGTTCCGTAAGTTCAATCTTTGAATCATTAGACGTTTCTGCGAAACTGCCCACCTACCCCTCCCTTAAGCCAACATTAACACTTACTTCTCACTTAGGGCAAAATGTTGGCATAGGGGAGGGATAGGTGGCAGTTTCCCAGAAACGTATAATAATGCCACAATCTTTCTTTCTTTTTCAAGAATGACTGCTCTATTTCTGATAGGTACCTTTTGAATTCAAGATTTTGTCACTGGAAACTTTTGAATTCAAAACTCTGGAATTGTAAACTGTTGAATCCAAGTTTTTTTTGGGGGGGGGGGTGGCGGATTTCTGACTCTTGAATTCAATTAAGACAATGGCATTCTGAAATTTTGAATTCAAAACTTGGGATAGCAAACTTTTAAATTCAAGCTTTTGGTATAATTACAAAGTGTTGAATTCAAGACTTTGGCTTTCCAAACACTTGAATTCAGGACTTAAGCATTGCAAGCATTTGAATTCAATACTTTGGAATACCAAAATCTTGAATTCAAAATTTTGGTATTTTAAAGTGTTCATGTTGAATTCAAGACTTTGACGTTCCAAACTTTTGATTTCAAGACCTTAACATTTCAAACATTTGAATTCAATTCAAATTTTTGAATTCATGATTTTGGCATCGAAACATGCCTTCCAGGTTAATCTGGTTTGATAATTAACACAACGGTAATAATTTTTTCTACGAAGAAGACTGACGAAACAGAAATTATGAGCCTTCTTGCCACAAAGACCCTAGCAGTAAAGTGTTTTATGTTCTTAATGATTCTTTTGGCAGCTCACAGTCCCGATAACTCGTTCTTGGGCTTTGCTGTTCCAAAGAAACATCGCAGTAAAACTAGAGAACCCAAGAACAGAACCAATGCACTAATCTACGGAAAACTACCGCATTTCTGGAAGGTACTAGTACATTGTTAAAGTGTTAGCGCAGGTGTTTCCGTCGTAGATGCTAAGGTTGCGTGCAAACGGACGCAATAACTCCCAACATTGTTGCGCCAACAATGTTGGGAGTTGTTGCCTGCGTGTTGGAAGTGGTGTGCAAACGGATGCAACAACTCCCAACATTGTTGGGACCTGCAGTGCGTCGTGGGAAGGATACAACCCATAAGTCTTTGTAAACCATGCGTAATGCGCGTGCGCGGCCTCAACAATGTTGGAAGAGCTGTGCAAACGGATCCAACATTGTTGCGCTACGCTTCGGCGATCAAGGAACAAAAGAAATGTTGGGAGTTGTTGGCTGAAAAGTTTGACCGGTTTCAAACTTTGCGCAACAACACGCAACAACATCCAACAACATGTAACAGGGTGTGCAAACGGACGCAACATGTAACATCCAACAATGCTGGGAGTTGTTGGCCAACAATGTTGCGTCCGTTTGCACGGGGCTTGAAATTCCTCGAGTGAGGTTTATTTTGTCTTTTTGGTTTAGGGCAAATCGCTGTACATTGAAGTGATCAGAAATCATGTCCAGGAAGTCCATGCCAACATCGGCTCCAAAAACGTAAGAATTCACTGCCTCAGATGTTTATCACACGTTCAATTTTTATGTTATACCGTAGCCATTAACTGCAATGTGGTTGTTTCAAAAGGAGACTGTTCTACGAAAATTCGACGTGCCTGATTATGTAATAAATCACGGAATCGTCAACATCTCCACACTCATGGATCTCTTTCAAGGCAGTAAGGTATTCAGACTTATTTGTGTTAGCTTGAAAAATTCTGGTATGGTTCGACTCAACTTTTGACACAACTGATGTCATTGCGTGCCAATTATTGGTTGCGACTATTAAAAAATGCATCTCTTGTCCCATCAGAGGCGAGTAATTTTGTTGAGTCCACCATATTGCCACAATATGCGCATTTGATCATATTTTAATGTTAATTTGCGCAATATAAATGATAAGTATTATTATTATTTATATTAGCTTTCTTTGGGCTTTTGGTACGAGCAAACAGGAAAGTATTGTTTTTTGGGGTCCTTAGGTTTTTGTTGGTCTGGGTGATCCTTTAGAAGGACCAGCAGCCCTAGAAGCCTTGGCGAATGGATGTTTCTTTCTTAACCCAAAGGTATGCTAGGAAATTAACAACACATCATTTTTTTGTACATCTACAATTAGATTATCAGTCGGTCTGAGTAGTTAAGTAGCTGTTTTGCTCCTTGACGCCCACATTCCTCTACGTCTCTATGCCTCGAGTTGCGTTGAATCGTGAGTTATATGGTGGCTCTAAAATGTCTGTCTGCTCTTGAACGAGCTATAAATAACCAAATGCAATTACGTTTTGATACAGGTTTGGTACAATATTTTAATTAATTATAGTTTGTATTTTTTTCAGTTTGATCCACCATTTGATCGAGTAAACCATGGGTTTTACGCTGGCAAACCCATGAATAGGAAGGTAATGATTAAGCTGACATATTAACCAATAATGCAGAAGTGTTTCATCTGATATTAAGGCGAAGAAGAATTACGAGGAGTAATATATTAAACACGAGAAGAAGTGTTTCATTCGATATCAAAACACCAATAAGTAATATATCTAATCAACATGAGAAGCAGTGTTTCATCTGGTATCCAAACACTGAGAAGTAATACATTAAATGCGAGAGGGAATGTTTCATCTGATATCCAAACACCGATAAGTAATATATCAAACACGAGAAGGAGTGTTTCATCTGGTATCCAAACACTGAGAAGTAATACATTAAATACGAGAGGGAGTGTTTCATCTGATATCCAAACACCGATAAGTAATATATCAAACACGAGAAGGAGTGTTTCATTTGATATCCAAACACCGAGAAATAACAGGAGAAGGATATCCAACTATCGAAAAGTAATATATGAAACGCGAGAAGAAGTGATGATATCTCAGTGATATCCACACACTGGGAAGTAATATAACAAACAAGAAGAGAAGTGTTTCCGATATCGAAATACTGAGAACTAATACATCAATCACGAGGAGTGTTCCATCTGAGATCCAGACATGCAACTAGGAGTTTTGTCAAACACGAGAAGAAGAATTTGTTTCGATAGAGTGATTTTCATATAACCTTGAAAAATGGTTTCGGTAAGTGTTCGTTATCTGTTTTAACAGCCAATGGATGAAAAGATCAAAACATGGCCTCTTCGTTTTTCCGCCAAAGAAAACTTTAATGTGAAGGAGGCATTGTTCGATTGGCCAATCGTGTCGCAGTATGACGTCAAAGCGAAGTATCGATCGACAAGTTTCTAGAAAGTTCTAGGGCATGAAGTTTTTCCACCTGAGCGTTCGCTTAACCAACCAAAAGGCACGCGCGTTTGTATCCGTTCGATAAACCAATCAAATCGCTCTATTTCCGTTCGTTTCTTTTTTCTGTTTTGTTTGCTTGTTTTCATTTCAAGGTCATACGAAAATCGCTCTATTCAGAACCGGGAAGTGTCTTGTGAAAACAATTTCCGAGGTATGTGAGTATTGTTTTCAATTCTCTTTAAGATAATGTTGGAAGGAAATCGAAAGTTGGCAAAATTGAATTTAATGGTAATGACCCAATCAACCTTCCTTCAATGTTTTCAATTAGTTTTTGAAATTGAGTTTAGACTATTTTTTCGCATGAACAGATTACATCCCAAAATCCTTATGCGGAGGTGTTTGTTGGAGAGCCGTTCGTTCAAACTGTGAACATAAACAACATGAAAGAAGTCGAGGAAGCTTTGCAGAAAATTTTGAATTCTTCGGTAGGTAATAGTGGTTAACCCTTGTTCCCCCAGAGGTCACCAAAGTCTGCCACTCAGGAAAGTTTCAAATTTTGTTTAGTATAAAAAGGGACAAAGACTAGTACCATGCAATCGTATCCCAGAAGAAGATTCATTGGAATGACCCAACATTTCAGGGATTTGTCCACTGACCCAAAAGTTATAACTAACATTTACAACATAATAAACAACACCACAGCAAAGTACTGCTCAGCAGCTTTCATTTGAATGAAATCCTGAAGTGTAAACTGCAGGATTTCATCCACTGTTTCAAAAGTTAGAACCGCCTTGTACACCACAATTAAAAGCAGTACCATAAGAGAGTACTACTAAGCGGGTCAGGCAAAAAGACGTTTCACATTCAGTATGAATCTATTTCCAAAACAATTTGGTCTACGTAGCTTACTTATTTTCTCTTTAAAGGAAACTCCTCGTCTTCCTTATGAATTCACTGTTGCTGGAATGTTAGAACGACTAAACGCATACTTGGAACACCAGGTAAAAACGCACTGTAAATTCACACTTCTGGCTTCCTCCTAGCTGTATTCCGTTTCTCTAATACCGCATAGGAGATCATGGAGAGCCGTTGTGTGATCTTACTTGCTTAGTAAGCCAGTGATTGAAACAGAACTTCAGAATATACGCATTTTATCCTTTTTGGTCATCCAAAAAATTTTGGCAATTTCTGAAGGCTTATTTTTCGCCCCAAATTCGGTGGCAGACACGTCACCCACGTGAAAAATACAATGAAACCCCACCTTACAGTCACCTCGTTGGTACGGCCACTTTTTTTGGTCGCCTGGCAAAAACCGCCATACATTTTCGTGTAAAAAAAAAACCCTCTTCAATACGGCCATTTTTTTTGGGCCCATTCAGTGACCGTATTAACGAGGTTCCACTGTACAGCCAAATACACACAATATACTGTTGACAGGAAGAAGTTATTTAAAGTCGTAACATCCCACCAAGTGGTGTGAATAGTGCTGGTAAAATTCAAGCAAACCCCGCCGGGGTTCGCAGCACATCTTCAACTTCATTCACTGTTTTCGCAAAGATCAGAGTGAACCTTGTCTAACCCCCAAAATTTTGCATTTTCATTGTTTCCAGTGTCTCCTGGGTATTACCATGATTACAGTCGTTCCAAGAGAAATCGAAGACGATGGCTATGCAAACCTTGGGGGGTGGGGGGGGGGGAGGTAAACAAGGTGCATTATGGTCTTTGTGAAAAAGGTGAGTGAGAGTACGCCTACTTTAACAAAGTATGTGAGTTGGAGTCGCCATAAAGATTGACAGAACGCAAATTCTCTTTTTAAGCGACTCCTTACTTCAGGAACTGACGTCCGTCCTGGCGAAAAGACTACTTCTGGTCACCGCACTAGACGCTTGCGTAGTCCTTACTAAAAGTCCCTTGACAAAAACTGGAGCATGTTTGCTTTTCCACTAGTCTTAGCAGGGGCGGCTCCAGAAAATTCAGAAAGGGGGGCCAGGACTTTTGGCACCTATGTAGATATAATTTGTGTGCCTTAGCCAACCCCTAAATTTGCCCATGCTTAACTATTGTGTCGTTTCGCTGATCTGAGGATGTGTCAGTTAATATTCTTTCCAAATGCTCAAATGTTCCAGGACTTCTGCAAGCCCAGTGTCTGGCCACCAATTAAGGAGCTGCAGATTACGAAAGGAAAAGATGGCCAGTCTTGCGAATTCGCCTGTCTCGATAAAGGACTCGTGTGTGAACCAACATTCTTTGCTACTGTCAACAGTCAAGAAATGTTTAAAAAGTAATTGCTTTATCTTTTGTTACACCATATCAGTTTTACAGTTTAGCGAATATTAAGTTACTATAAATTGGCTCAAAGACAAGCATTATATAATTATCGGAATTCTTTGATCTTCGGTTTTTTTTCTTTTTGTTTATTCCTTTACCACGGCTGTTGAAAGTATAAGGTTTGAAATTTATTTACATTTTATGTGAATTCAAACATACAGAATTTTTTTTCTCACGGAGATTATTTGCTAAACAACACGCTTTAAGTTCCTGCCGTCGGATTTTCCATAGTAGGTCTAGAACGTGTAAAATTCGTCTATTACTTAATTTAATTTTTTTTTTCTTTATCGTTGTCATGGTAATATCGATTTTTCATAAAACTACATTTTGACAAACTTTAGTCCAAAGTCAGTGAGTGGTGACGATCAGACAAGGATAAAGTCGCTTTTAAGGCGATCAGTGAAAAATCTCAGTATGGTTCCCGAAAAACTGTATCGAAACACCTAAAATTATGAGAACAAGTTAATTACATTTTATTTCGATTACAATGACTTTGCCTGTCAATAATTTGTCTCCATTGACTGTTCCTGTGTCTTCGAGGATGAGATAGAAATGGCGGAGGGAGAGTCGAGATCCGTGTATTTCCTTTGAAAAAACTGTAGCTTTGTTCCGTTGCTTTCTGACAGCCTTTGCATTTCACTCCCGTGTGTTGCTCTTGAATTCTTTCACGAGCAAGGAGAGTCGTAATGCTCCATTTTTGTCAGTTCAGTTTCTGGCTGTCGTTTCTGGTCAAACAAAGTCGGATTTTGCGTAGTCTACGAAACCAATAAAACCTTTAACTGTATTATCGTTTCTACCATTGATTTCAGAGCCGGTATCCAGTGCCATACGTCCCCCATGGTATCCTGTGACAGTATTTTGGCGCCATCACTGAACACTTCAAATAACACGTGTTTTCTACAGGGTAATTCCATGCTATTCAGCTGCCGAGCAGCCAGGCCTGGTGTGATCCGTGTTTGTCCTTGTCGTTCATACCGAAAAGAGCAAGTGGCTTTATGTGAATCATGTTGAAGGAATTCTCTTTGATGTACTGTACCTCGCTTGGGAGTAGCCAATTGATAGCCTATTGGCTTCCTGTCTGTTGCAGTTTTTAATTAGCCCCAGATTCCGGATCCGGTAAAATTTTGCTTTTGGAATCCGGAATCGTAAACAGTGGTATCCGGAATAAAGCTCAAGGGATCTGGGATCTCACCAACGATTGGAATCCAGAATCTAAGTTCAATTGACAAAGACTGGAATCCGCTGACTGGAATCTGGAATACTGATTAAATTATAATTGAATTACTGATTATATTGTTTAATTTGCCTTATTTGTTTCAAAATATTTTAGTGGCTGCTGTTACCTATCCAGCGCAGCTTAGTGTACAGTACTTCATAATAAACAAAGCAGTTAGTAACTTTGACACATTTAAGATCCAAGGATGACGGCGGGAGCGAAAACGTTGCTTAAAAAGTGAATTGACGTTCTTTCAGTCTTCATCGCGATTAATTCAACTCACTTTCTTTGTCAAATGTAGGCGAGCTCTCCTGAGTTGAATTCCCAATAACCATATTCAAGGTCAGAAGGAGAAGGAAAATTTCGTCGAGGCTTGTTTACGTCCACCATAGAACGTGGAATCAGGCATTTTCACGACAAAAAAGTGTGGTGCACGTGCAGCGTTGTTGTTTTGTGTTTTAAACGTCTTTTCCTTTTTTGACGTTCTCGTTGCCGTGGCCGTCCTCGGATCTTGAAGTCCATATTATATGGCGTATGGCGTGAAATATATGACAACGCAAACAAAGTATTTGATTTTAAGTACACCGCTTTTGAGACAAATTAAAACTGTCATTAGCAGCCATTTTGAATGACGTCATCGGAACCCCCCTCCCCCCATTGTTTTATTTCCGGATATTCTCACACATTATTATGATATGCTCTTAACAAGAGGTAAGATAAATTATTTTTATTAACAAGTAATTGGTGGTTTTCACATAAAATCATCAAAATTCAAACTAAAGAATTATCGATCCTCCAGAGTTTTTCCTTTCATGAAGTATTAGAACAACTAAAAACTAACATTTACACAAATTTTCACTTCAAAAGGGTTCTTCGTTTTGTGATAGAGAACGCTTGAATTTCTAACCTTTTGCGTGACACTTTTTTTTTTTGGAGTAAAAAAAAAAGTGTCACGCCAAAGGTTAGAAATTCAAGCGTACTCTATCACAAAACGAAGAACCCTTTCGAAGTGACACGGCATTCACATGGCGACCGAGAGAGCTGTCATGTAGGAAAAAAGAAAGTGACTTATCTTGGGAAATTTTGTATTGAAAGTATTAGTTTAATGTTTATGAGTTCCTCGACACATGAATTCACGCTTTCGTAGCAAAACTTAATTCTGTTTGTCTCCGGTCGCCATGATGGTGCCCATAGGGATAGATGATTTTCATGTAGGTACACCTAATTGTGACTGTTACCATTCTCGACCCCAGTGCTTACGGGTTTGGAAATGCGCGCGCAGAAGATCCCTGGGCGGAGATTGCCACTGTTACATAATGCGCATGCGCTGTATAATGCTGCCTGAAGGAGGTCGTAATTGAGAAAATCTTCGAATCTGCCCCTTCTGCCACTTAAATGAAATTGAAAAAGAATCACACTTTCTATTCAATTGTAATATTTACGATAGTCTTCAATCTAACTTTTACAAGAACATTAGTAATAGACAGCCCCTTTCTAATAATTTTGACAACAATGCAAAAACCCTCTTCATATTTAACAATGTCGATCCTCATATCTACAAACTTACAGCTGCTTACATACATTTATGTATGGAATATAGATAAAAACTTGTTCTTTAATTATAGCCTTTTTTCTTTATTAAGATTTAGAACAAATAATGTAGGTAATACCATCTACTCACGTAATCATCTCCATAATTCTTCAAAAGATACTCAGCCTCATTCATTGATTGTTAAATATTGTTAATTATCCATCAGTAGTAATTTGTGTTTTCAAATCAGTAGTAATTAAATTTAAGAAAAATACGGTGTCTACAAATAGGAAGACTCAGAGAAAAATAGTTGTTAAAATTTGATATATTTTCAAGTGTGACTAACAATTTAATGGTTCAAAACATTTCCTATTACAAAATATGATAACACCTAAGTATCTCTTTAAACAGTTTCTAAAACGCAATACGTTTACTGTAAATAACTTAAATAATTTAATAAAATAGTATTCACAATAAACAAACAATAAACCTTCCCTCTTCCGCAGGAAATTCGAATTTCGAAACGACCACATCAGCACCAATTCTCCAAAACCCAACAACCAATCCCAAACGTTCTGCCGTGACCACAAAAATGCCCCCACGCCCTAAAGCCAGGACCATATCTCTGACGTTATGACGGACCGGACATATTCCCACGAACAGCCGACAAGAGCTCTTATCGGTTTACTAATTCAGACCCATATTCGTAGGGAAAAAAAGGCCCATTTGCCAACTAATCAAGGGCCAAATGATGTATATTTTCTATTTAGTATGAAACATAAGGAATACATTCCCAGGAACAGCACGATCACAATAACAGGGAAAACAGAACTTTCACCAAAAGGATCCTAATTGCTGTAATTGATCACAAACTGGACCCATTCTTCCAGGGACAAAAGGCCCATCTCCTCAGCAATCCGAGCATATATCCCTAACAATACATGGAACATATTTTAGGAACATTCTAATCACAACTGAAGGGCCAGCGGAATCATAGCCCAATAGGGGCCCTAACAGTCGTTCCGCGTGATAAGGATCTAGTGACACTGTTTGCAGAAGGCTACTTGTTGAGCTTGGAAGTCTCTGCAAGGACACAGCCGTTTTACATCAGGATCTTTCTTGACGCAGCTGAAGAGAAGTGGAAATCTCTGCAAGGTACATGCCTTAGTTGACGTGCTATAACAAGGAGCTAAGAGAGATTCCTCTGTATTAACTGAGCCACATTTTTCTCCAAACCTGCAAGAAGAAACATTTTTGTGTCACTTCTTCTCCAGAGTGAAAATGCAGTCTTGTGAGGTGGTTCTGACTCTTTAATCTGTGGACGAAATTCTATAGTGTGACCATTCAAATGAAAGCTACTGAGCTATACCTTCCTGCGGTACTGTTTATTATGCTGTACAAGGTGGTTCTAACTTTTGAGTCTGAGGATGAAAACCTATGGTGAGTGTAGAAGAGCATTAACACGTGCTTTGCCAGCATTTTTCTAGTTTACGTGCTTAGCGATCATTCAATAATCTTGAGAAAGTGTTGTAAGATTGCATGTAAAGGAGGGTTATTTTTTTACCCCACCTAAGCAGGGCCTTAATTTGGTAATCCCAGCGAGGTTTAAAAAACAAAAGCCTTAATTTGCACAAGAAAGCAAAACCCTGAAGGATTTTGGTCGTAGAAGTAAAATGACGTCATCATGCAAATGACCCATGCCTGACGGCCTGGCCAAGGACAACAGAGCGGAATCTCTTCGTTTCGTGGGTTTGTTTCTTCCCGACTGCGTGCAAAATAAGCAAGGATTAAAAACACACGAGGTAAGTGTATATATACTTTAATTGCTTCCAAATAAAAGAGCTATTTCACATTTTAAATTCTCCGCATCTGAACTTCAACAAATTATGAAATATGGTTTCTTTAATTTAAGATGCACTCTTCGGCCGCATTCGCTTTGTGTTTTAATGGGCAGCAGAAAGACCGCCAACTAATTTCAGAGAATGCATATTTTGTTGCACCAAGACAAATTCAGAATGTAACCTTCAAGGAAATAAAAATAACAGTTGCACAGCGGCCAAACCCGTTCAGACACTTACTTTTCTATTTGTTCCCCACTATTGACATCTTCAAAGTAAGAAGGTTCACACAGGAGACCTAAATTAACGGCAAAATATCATGATCAATAAACGAACTAGAACATGGCTATCAAACTCCTACACCCGTCGAAATTCGTATTTGCTAAATTTGTTTGTTTTTTTATTTCGTTTAACTTGCTTGTTATGATGTCGTCTTGCGACCATTAATCTTCCAAGAGGCGAAAAGAAGCGTCGAGAGAAAACTGAAATTAAATCCCTGATTTTAGTTGGGCAAGCTAGGAAAAAATGAGTTAAAAAATCGCCCAAGAAAGAACAATAACCCTGAAATTTAACAAGATTATTGGGAACATTTGTACAATATACATGCAAATACAAGGGAAACATGTGTTGTACAACACCGTTTTGTCTAGTTAGGTGAACACAACATATTGCACGTGCAAATACAAAGGAAAAAATCTAGTGTTTTGTTTTCACGCCTGGGGGACACAAAAGAAACACCGTTTTGTCTAGTTAACTCAATGAACAAAACAATAAAACGCTTTGTTTCAGGAATTTCCATATCATTTAAATGCAGCAAATCAATACACAAAGAATCTTTAGGTCTATCATACGATTCTGTAGTGGATTCATTCATTTGCTCGCCGGAATTTTTTTTTGTTTTAATTCTGAACTGAAAAAAACAACAACAACAGCAACAACAACAAAAACACAGTTACTCCGGGTAAAGGCGACGGCCAACACATATGCTGCCAATAAATCCACCTAGGTGGCCTGTATAACTAGAGTTATTTTTTCGCCTTTTTCAGGCGAGGCAAGGCAAGCGCGAAGGGAGGGAGCAGCGCCAAACACGCGCGACGGGGAATCTGGCGCTCCTCGCTTGCTTCTTGCTTGACTTCGCTTGCCTGACAAACGCGAAAAAACAACGCCTTTTATACAGGCTACCACCCAAGTGCCCTCTTATCCCCCTCCACCAGCCTTTAACCCAAAATTTTGCTGATTAGTGAGAATTTAGTGTTAACGTTGGGTCAGGGGAGGGGTAGGTATACATATTTTGCAAGTTCAGTGACGTATTTTTGGTCTAAACGTTTAACCACGTGCGCTTCGAGTAGGTTACGAGCGACAACTAAAAAAAAAAAGCTTTTCCGGTTGAAAGGTTATTTGGCAAATAGGGTTTCAGATACAAAAAAATTCACGCATCTGTTCACTGAAAAAGATAGCGCAGTTTGAATACTGAAGACGTCTAAATTGATAAAATTCATAAAAACATGACAGGAAGGAATAAAAAGTGCTCCAATCGTTCTAGTCTTGTTTAGTCTTCTAAATTTATTTATCCATTTATCTATTTTTTTGAGGGCCGTAGGTTAGAAAACTGTAAAAGGTTATTGCGCTTCCCTCTTTAAATAAAGTTATTGTATTGTACTGTATTGTAGTGTGAACCCTTACTCCCCAGACCTCCCGTCTCCTGTACTTCCCGCTCCTTTAGTTCGCTTTCTCCCTGTAGCCCTTTAGTTCGAATGTCAAAATATTACCAATTGTTACGTTACTTTCCCTATTTCTCGCGCTTCCCATCCTTTTAGAATTTTCACCTCCTGCCCTCTTCTTCTTCCTCCAACCCCCTGTTCCATCGGTCTTTCTGCCTTCTGATTGGGCAGAAAAACACAAAAGTTTTCTGGCACCAAACAGAAGCCAGAACGACCGCGACAGTTTGGAACTGGTCTGGTAAGACATTGTCCCAAGGGGCTCTTCTCGCCGTTCTTTACTTTTATTCGTGCCATATTTTCCCGCCCGTTTAGACTTTCTCTCGCCCCCACTATCTGCCCCTGGGTCTCCGAGGATGTATAGATAGTGTTACAATACACGTTATTTAACTCACCAGACATTTTACAAACTTCTACACAAGACTTCCCCGCTTCACCCATGAACAACTTCATCTCTGATAATGGCGGCCATCTTTCACTACGCTCACAAAAGTTCTTTGAAGAAAAAAAAAGCGAACAAAAATAACCTAATGAGCATTTGTATTTTAACTTTGAGTTTTACCGTAACTCACGGATAACCTTTAAAGTTAGATTTTTCAATTTATCATGTGAGTAGCAAAATATTGGTGGGCAATCATTGCTGCGTCGTTTTTGGATTAAATAACGACTGTTGATAAGAAGAACACCCATATTTTTCTATTTTCGTCTTCAACATTTCAAGTTGACTTTATTTTTTGCAGTCCAAAATAAACACACCCGAGTGCAATAACTTGTATTGGAGGCTTTCGTCAACTGCTTGCCGCCTGAAAATCCAAGTGACGTTGGTTTCATCCAATCAATCCTTACGAGCGAGCAAAGATGGCGCGTACTGTACTTACATAATATTCGGTGAAGGCATTGACACGTTCCAGCATTCCTTTAGGCGTCCACTCCAGAGGTAAGTAAGGTTTCACCTAAAATCGGGAACAAACAAATTATTTTTCTTTCATTTTCAGCTGAGGGGAGGGGAGGGTGAAAGGGATAAACGTGTAGGTCTAAACTAACGTAATCAGGGAGGGGAGGGTGAGAGGGATAAACGTGCAGGTATAAACTAACGTAATCCGAGTACAAATTATAAAGCACCATTTTCAGCCAATTGGTAGAACATCGAAGTTGCTGTTCTCGTGAAGTTTTTGCAGTTTTGCTCACAGCATAGGTTTATCACATTGCGCACCGCACATATTGAGCGCAGACATTTTCGCAGGATCTGGCTTCAATCATCCTCTCCAAGACCAAAACAAGGTGGAAAGGGAGAAACAGAAAAGTCCCTATACTGTAGTGAATAGTCAAATTCTCCTAAAAACGTCAATACCTAAACAAGAGATTAATCAGGTGGAAATAAGAGCACATGCTATTTGCAAGGTTTTTTAAAAAACTAACCTCGAGGTTTAAAATTCGTTTGACAGTATCCTCTACCAGCGAAAGATTCCCAATGTCTACAGTAACAACATGCGGTTCACCTATAAACACCTCTGCATACGGGTGTTGGGAAGTCAACTGTTAAAAAAAAAAGAAGACAGAGAAGGCTTAAGACAATGAAACATGACACATCGCTTGCGCAGCATTTCCAAACGAAATAAGCCATTTGCGAGTAGACTTTCTAAAAGTCCTTTATTTTTTTCCCTAGTTGGTTATACCATTTTAAAGAACTTTTCATACCTCTCTGGCGCGAAATTCGGTGACGTCATGACAATTGACCAATAGAACAATGAGTGACATTTCACGCCGCTCCCAACAGAGTGTATGTCAATCATTTTTTTTCCCGCGTGAATTTATAATATGATCGAGACTTCGTCGCTCGCTCGGTCGCTGCGCGACCTCATGCATTGAAGCTCGCTTCACTCACTTTTAAGACCTTATGAAAGGTCGACTTGTAGCAAAATTTGCGAGTTGCCCAGAGTCTGTTTCAAAGTAAAGCTAAGTACAAAAAGGTATTGCAATTGATATGAAAATAAGTTTAATTCTCATGCAAATAAAACTCCTTTACACAGGAAAGGCTTTGCATTTAGCCTCGTTTTGAGTTTTTGGAACTCGGAAATGGCCATTTTCAGTAAGTTCCAATAAATTATTCAATGCTGAAGCAATAATCGTATTTCAAAATACATAAAGATTACTATTCGATAACAGGCTTGAGGCAGAGAAAAAGTTTATTTGACACTTTAAAGGGCCTGGTGAGCTTCAAGCCGTTCAAAACTTAAAAACGCTATATGTCTACACCTTAGAATGCCCAAACGTTTTCCTTAATTTTCCAAGGGAGGTTTTCCTCCCTTGGTTAATCGATAATTAATCATTAAAGAATTGAATTCATTAACGAGGCGCAGCATAAGTTGTTATGACCACATTCTTCAGCTCAAAACATATAGACTTCGTAATATGTCAGGAACCAGGGCTTCATGCTTCATCACGGGTTCCAAACACCTGGAAAACAATGGAAAGTGCTTTCACCTGTTTCAAGGAGTTTGGAACCCGTGATGAAGCA